TTTCAATGGGAGTTCACTGACCAGAAACAAGCTCTGTTTCAAAACACTGCTACTGCCTGACCTGAGTATTTTCAGGTCTTTTCATTTTACATAATAATAGTGTTTTGCTATTGTACATTAACTGTCCAAATATCTTGGTAGACAAGGGCCTCAACAATTGCTTTTCTTGCACATTTCCTTTGGACTGTTTTCACATTTGATCAGGTCCAGAAAATCACAGAATCCCTACAGTGCGGAAGCAGGCCACTTGGCCCAGGGATTCCATACCAACCTTCCAGACACCATCCCACCCAGACTCACACCCCTACCCTATCTCTGCAACCCTGTATTTCCCAAGGCTCATCGACCTAGCCTGCACATCCCTGGACACTATGAGTAATTTAGCATGGCCAATCCACCTAACCTGCACATCCACTGTGGGAAGAAAGGAAGCACCTGGAGGAAACCTATGCAGACACTGAGAGAACTGCAAACTCCATACAGTTGCCAGAGGGTAGAATCAAACCTGAGTCCCTGATGCTGTAAGGCTGCAGTGCTGACCACCGAGTAACCATGCCAGCCTATGTAAATGAACAGCTTTCTGGCCAATACTATATTTTTGAACATTTTAAGCACATTGTCGTGCCATTAAAACACCATTTCAGTGCTTGTACTGTGATATTCAAGACTGAAATTGATGTACAGAGTACAGAGTACAATCACAAATGGCAACATGAACAGAGTGTACGCAAAGTCAGGTCATCCCAAACTATTTCTCACAACCCCAGCAGGGTGACCGGTCAAAATTATGGGGTCATGACCTCCAAATAGCAATGGCTACCATGGAGATCCAGCCAAGTGCCAACAGTTGCAAAGCCCCTTTGTATCTCACTTTTTAAGCAAAATTGTGAGTGCAGTCCAAACGCTAAATCTTGAAGAACTAAATCCTGTCCTTAAAAATACAATGAGAAGGTAGGTGTTTTTAAACATTATGGATTAAACAGCTATTTCTCCCACCCCCGCCCCGGTCCTCAAAACAGGTGGAAGGCCAAGTGCAACTCACTGGGATTCTACCCCAGGACATCCCTGTCCCGAATTTGCTCAATTGACTGTTTTTCCCAATATATAACAAAGAAAGCTGGATGTGATTGGTCTTTTCGTTCAGTTAGGATAAAGAGACAGCTGATATGGGAATAGAAATGTTACAATTAAGTGATCATCTGCACTGTACCTGACCCAATAGGGCTCAAAGATGGCACTGGATATTAAAGTGTTCCATTACACAGCACCATCATCCATCAAATAGGAGAACTCAAAACATTAAATCAGGTGATAAGGTTAATTACATTCATTGACATCCATTTGATTTTGATCTTCTGTGAATAAGGTTCCAATAATAAGACTGATTTAAAAAGCTAGCATTTATTGGGTTCTTCACACGTCCTTGATGACATTCCACAGAGCTAAATAGCCAGCAAAGTGTACCTTGAAGTGTAGCCACTATTGCGGTGCAAATGTGAATCAGCAAGCTTCCACAAAATGACAATGTTTAGATGGCCAAACAATCTGTTTCAGTTATTCTGAATAAAGAATAATTATTGAGCAGTGCACCTAGGGAGCATTCCCCGGCTCTCCTTTACAAACGCAACAGGATCTTTGTTTAAACTTTAGGGAGTAAATAGGGTTCATCTGAAAGCTGGCAGCTCTGACAATGTAAAACTCCATCCGTATTCAAACAAATTGTCAAACTAAATTACGTGCTCAATGAACATCCTCAACCTTCGAACCTTTTGATACAGTGACAAAGGCCCTGCAAATGCATCAAAATCAAGATTTTTATTCAAGCATTGCACCTTTAAGAGTGATTTGAACAGCAGCAACTAGTGCACAGCCTGAACTTGACTAGACAGATCAACTTCTGTTCTTGCAAACTTTAAATTACATTTTCAAAACTTGCACTCCAATTTACAAAAGCAAACAGCAAAATGTTTCGTAAATCTTTACTGGATAGCAAGTGATCTTATGTTTTTTTTTTGAAATGTAAAAGGTTAATTTAACATCTTAACTTATTTTGGATAAATGGGCTGTTACTTTATTCAATTCCTAATTCCACACCTTCTTACCAAGTTCCCACTGTCCTTCCCCAACGGATAGAGGCACAAATCAGTTCTCAGGTCTTCAGAGGGTCAACTCTCTCCATCTGTCCAGAGGAGTACAGTAGCTCATTGACAAAATGGCACTTCAACTTCCACAAAAACACCAGGACCAAGGACAAAACTAGGCTATTTGACTCATTCAAGCACATCTTTTAGATGTTAACATTGCTGCTTTTCAGAAGTCTGTTTCTGCATAAAAATGTTTACTCATCACTTTAGTAAAAAGACATCCTTCCCATTAAAAAACAAGGAGTTAAGGTTGAAATATTGGTCTGGGAGGAATGGATTGTACTTCAACGGACACGGGAATGGTTCTTGTGGTAGGGGCTTCACATGGACTGTTGTCCCTGCGAGTGGAATAAACAGGGTTCTAGAGATGGCTTTAAATGAATCTGGGAACAGGGAGATTCTGGATAATGGATACACGTGCTCACAAAGTAGAAGGATATGGCAGTATTACAGGGATGTTATTTCGATACCCAGAGTGAAACAGGAAGGGACAGAGTGTATAAACGTTTTGAAACGTAAGTATGATATGGAATAAGCACGATAGCAAGATATGATCTTGAATCAGAAGATGCAGAATCCGTAATGGGTGAAGATATAAAATAACAAGGGGAAGAAAACACTGGTTTGCATAATCTGTAGGCCCCCTAACGGAAGCCATATTGTAGGGCAGTGAAAAAAAAATCAAGAGATAAGGTCATGTAAAAAAGTTAATATATTAACTATAGCTGACTTTAATTTTCATCCAGATTGGAAAAAAAATCAAATTGGCAGAGGCAGCCATGAGGAGAAAACTCATAGAATGTACCTGGAAAGACCGATTCCTGGAACAATTTGTTAAGGATACAAGCAGGGATCAGACTATTTTGCTTGTGGTGATAATGAGGCAGGTTTAAAAAGCAAACACAGAATAAAAGTTCCCCTCAAAAACAGTAACCGTAACATGATAGAATTTACATTGAGAATGAGAATCTTGCGTCAGAAACAACAGGACTAAATTTCAATAATAATTACAAAGGAATGAAGGCAAAGTTGGTTAAAGTGGTCTGGGAAAAGAGTTCAGAAAAGATGGTTCATAAATGGACTTTAAGAAAGTAGTTTTTAAACCCACAAAGACATAGTGAGAAAATGAGTTATTTAAAAGGAATAAACTACCATGGTTAACTAAGGAAATTAGGGATAGCATCAAATGGAAAGAAAAATGTTCAATATGGCAAAGATTAGTGATAAGCCAGAGAATTGGGAAAGTTTCAAAACCCAACAAAAGAGGACCAAAAGATTAAAAAAAAACTGTGTAAACTAGCAAGAAACATCAAAATGGTTAGCAAGATGTCCTTTAAATAAATCAAACGGAAGATACAAGGCAAAGTGAACATAGGTCTTCCGAGAATGAAGCTGTGGAAGCAATACTGGGGAGACAGAAAATTGCGGGAGAGTTGAATTAATATTTTGCATCTGTCTTCAGGACACAGAATGAGATGTAGTCTACTTCAATGCAATGCAAAACCTTGTTCAAATAAATTAAACATTCGCATCTTTCCAAACCAAATGCTCTTCTGCATTCCCAGGGATGGAGAATGTGATTGGCTATTGTTTCAAGGCTTCACCATATTGACATCTGAACTAGTGGCCTTTGCAACAGCACACATTCATACAGAGAAATTTCACTGTGTCAACAAGGAATCATAGATACTTTAGAACTGAGTCATAACACTGGGTTTTCAGAGTTTGAGCTTTTTGGGCTAACAGTGATCCTTCTCTTTCCTAAGAGATTATAGAGCAAAGGAACATTCTGAGAAACTAACGTGTAATGATGACTTATGCATACACTTGTTCATGCAAAGATTGTTTCAAAACAGAATTTGCCTTTCTCACCTTCAAATATGTTCAGCTCTTGACCTGGGTTGCCAACTCTCCAGGATTAGCCTGGCTTCTCCAGGAATTAAAAAATGAATCTCCAGAGTATTGTGTCCAATTCTGACACAACACTTTGAAGACATGGTGAGAGCGTTAGACAGAAAATTTTAGAAATGGTCCATGGGATGGGGAATTTGAGTAAGATATTTAAGATTGTAGTTGCTGGGATTATTCTCCTTAAAAAGAGAAGATTTGATAACGGTGTACACAATTATGACTGATTTAAGAAAAGTAGATAGAAACAAACTGTTCCATTGAAGGAAGGATCAAGAACTACGGAGTACCAATATTAACTGAGCAGCAAAAGAACCAACATGTCATGAGAAAACTTAATTTTATACGTTTTTCGGTCAGGATCTGGAACACACAACTAGAGTGTGGTGGAGACAGATTAGGTCATGGCTTTCAAAAAAAGAAGAATTGGATAAGAACCTAAAGAGAGAGAAAACAAAAAGCAGAGTTATAGGGAAAGAGCTGGGGAATGGGATGACCTAGCAGAGAATCAATGCAAATAAGAAAGGCCTAATTGTCTGCTTCTGTGCTGTAAATGTTGCACAATTATATTCTACGTTGCAAGCAACTGGGAGAATTCACACAGAGGTGTTAAAGAATGTACTTTTCCCATTTTCTGTGTACCATTTTGCTTATGGATTATAAACACATTTGAAAATAGGATAAACAATTGTTTGTGAGATTTACTCAATCAAGTAAGGGTCTGTTCAGATTCCAATCAGAATGCATTGCGTCAAGGATGGACATCAAAAGCAGGAGTTTAGGGATTGGAGCTTGTTCATCACGTGATAAAATATTCAGGAATAACTTCATCCATAGTTGGCAACCCTACTCATGACACAGAAGAACAATATTTCTGTTGCCATCCTTCCAACTAACCAGCACGTTTCAAAGGCCTCAGAGACTTGTGGCATTAACTAAAGAACTTACTTACAATGCAGATTCCCCCGTGAAGTGTAATGCACTAAAGAAAGCTTCAAGTTCTCCTCTGGTACATCTGTGGAAATACAAAATAACACTGGGGTCAACTAAACTAGTCATTCGATAGAGCCTCCAATATGGTTGAGACAAAGATAATATCTAAAATTATAGCTCCTCCAGCCAAATACCCCACAGATCTCCAAAAGGAAATAGGCACCAATGGAAAAGGGAGGCATCTAGAGGGGTGAACAGAGCTTCATTGGAGAGAAAATGTTTAATCATGCAAAGTATTTCAGAGGTGGAATTCCAAATAAGTGGAATCCAGGTAACTTCAGGTTAAGCAGCCTTTGTTTGGAAGCAAGGGAATGCTGGGATAAGTGGAATAAATTGTTCAGCAGCGATAGCAACAGACAATGTACAGAGAGGGCGAAGTTATATCATTGAACAACTTTAAACTACAGCAACTAACAGTTAAATAGTACTTTTACAAAAAAAAGTAAAAATTTTAGGAAGAACCACGAGAGATCCCTATTTCCAAAACAGTTAATCTTCACCTGTTTAATATATCTCCATCACCTTCCACTCAAAATATCCTACACTGGCAAATAAAAACCAGTTCTAGTGAGAGAGATGCGATACGAAATAGGATGTGAATTCTTGTTACCTCAAGTATAGTCTTCAATATGCATTAGCACCGGAATTCAGTGAAGTGCTGGGCTTTCTTACTTGGAGGCCAAGCTTCACCTGAGAGAGTCAATCCTCAAGAATGAAAGGCCACCCTAATGAATCATGCATGATCCTGAAAGAATTTAAAAGACTGGAGGGCATAATCTCAGACTAAGGGGCCCCACATTTAAGACAAAGATGAGGAGGAATTTATTCTCTCAGATGGTTATTAATTTATGGAATTCTTTACAAAAAGCTGTTGAAATTGGACCATTCTGTATATTCAAGACTGTGATAGGTATATTTTTAAATCTGTAAGGGCATCAAGGGTTAAGGGGAAAAGGCAGAAAAAGTGCACCTGTAGATTATCATCAGTCACAATCTTACTGAATACTAAAGCAGACTTGATGGGCTGAATGGCCTACTCCTGCTCCTACATCTTATGGTCTCAACTGAGTCAGCTCAAAGAAAATGGCAAAAACAGGTCAAATGAGGTTGGGTTGTTATTTTTCCATTATTTAGACCCAAGTGCCCACTCGAGCCTTTTCTGTTATTTGATTGGATTGGATTCAATTCGATTATGGTTGGCCTTTCAGTACATCAGCTGTTCTTTCCTGCCATATTTCCATTTCTGTAATATCTTAAAAGAAAAAGGATTGATCTGTCTTGAATGCATTCAACTCAACATACAGAACTACGTGAGAAAGGGAACACTGTCCACTGAGTGAAGAAATAATTCCTCATCTCATACCTAAGGAGTCAGTCACTTATCATGTCCCGGCCACTGGCGCAATACACTCGAAATTGATTCCATCTGTTCCTAGAGTTATCACAAATGTGGAAAAATGTAGTTAAGCTTATCCAACATCCCCAATTTACCTGGCTGACAAACTCAAGTTTAAAGACAACGCTCACCATATTTACATACTTAAGAAGATAACAATTTATTTATGAGTAAATTATCTTTAACGATTAACAATTCATATTTCTTATTTGCCAACTTACAACTCATAAATTTAAAAAAAACTCTGCTTCTTAAATTCCCCTCTCACATCCAGAAAGACACATTAGACAGACAATGCATGGACATAAAGGGTGGAAAAGAGGGTGGGAAAATAGAAAATCAGGGAAACACAGTTTGATAGCACCAATTCAGATGGCAGAATTCAATTAGTTGTTTTCTTTTGTTTCTTTTCAATACTTTGATGTTGACACAAGGTTGGTGGGAGACCATTCACTGGTTAAAAGTTCATCATTCCAAGGGTTCTGGAGGTATTTTATTCCTCCTTCATCAGGGGATTTCCAGAGGAAGTGGAAAGGAAGCCAGCAAGCTGTGATGGGAAACAAACATATAGAAGGCTGGAGATTCTCACCAGTTCTTAGAACAGTCACATCAGAGTAGAAATATTGACTTTGTTTCTCTCTTCACAGATATTGCCAGACCTGCTGAGTTTCTCCAGCATTCTCTGGGTGTTTCAGATTTCCAGAATCCACAGTACTTTGCTTTCCATTTATAGCTGTAATGAGACACTTTCTGGTACATCTGGGGCAGGGCAGATTTTTGATGCTTTCTCTTTGCAGTCTAGATTTCGAATGCACTTCCCCCACACAAATCGTGGGCAGGAGCCAATCAAAATGTCGTTGTTAAGCAGCCTTAGTTCAGAAACCTTTGGCTCCATTCTGTCTGCCTTTGCTCTCACCATTCCAGGAAAAGACAACACTGCGTATACGATCCAATCTGCTAGAATAAACATGATCTTTAAAACTGTAAGCATATCTTTACAGTCAGTTCGTTTAAAGCAGTATCTTCCCTTCTTAGCTCAGAGTATATAAGGAAAATAATGTGGTATATACAATCCTGAGATTATAACTCCTTGCTCTGCAGCCAAGGTAAATTGTACTTCAGCATCTATCTTGTCAATCTCTCTGAGAAATCCTTCTAATGAGATCACCTCTCAACCTTCTAGACTTGAGAAAATATCTTCCTTTTCTCCTCAATCTCTCTTCATTAAAACAGCCTTCTTGATAATCTCGCGCACCTTTGTAGCCCAACTCAAAAAGCAAACATAAGCTTCCTTAGGCAAAGAGACCAAATCTGTACACAGTGCTGAGCCTTGATCTCACCAACACCCTATATAATTACAGCAAGACTTCCTTGTAATACTCCAACTCTCTTGCAGTAAAGGTATATTACACATTTCCCTTTCTATTATTCAAAATACATGCATGTTAACTTTGTGATTTGTGTACAAGAGTCAAATCTCACTGATTGTTGAACAAATGTTGGTAATCACTATTTTAAAACAGACTTCTGTTCTTCCTACCAAAGTGGCTTAATTTGCATTTCTCCCCATTATACTCCAGAAGCCATTTTTTTGTCCCTCAATTTTCCGGATTGTACTCCTTTCCGACCCACTTTGCATTCTTCTCAAAGCACAGACACCCCCCTAGTTTTGTATGACCAAAGTCAAACTTTCAATATTTCGATTTCAATATCTAATATCTCGCTTATGCAGTTCACTTGTTACAACCTAAAAATCATCCATTCATTCCTACTCTTTATATCTAACATTAACCAATGCTGAATCCATGCTAATACCTTAATCCCATTAATCAATCTCCATCTTGTCTAACAACCTCTTATGTCAATTTATCAAAAGCTGCCTGAAAATCTAAATTTACATAAATATATACACATTTGATATCTCTCTAATCTACCCTACCAGTCACAATTGCAAAATCCTTGAAAAGATTTGATTTTCTCCTTATAAAACCCACTAACTCTGCCCAATCCTATTTTGCGTTTCTAAGTGCCCTGTTACCACAGCACTAAAAACAGATTCCAGCAACCTGGGCTACAAATCTACTCCAAAACCTTAGAGATTCCAGCATTTCCTGATCATAGATGTCAAGTTAACAAGCATGAAATTCACTGTTTTCTCTCTTACTCTCCTTTTACGAACAGCAGGGTTATATTTGCTACCTTCTAATTCTTAAATCTACAGAATTCTGCAAGTTCAAATAAAATGCATCCATTATCTCCAACTATTTTAAAAACCTAGTAGAGGCTATCAGATCAGGGGATTTGTTGATTTCTAGGCCCATTAATTTCTCCAATACTTTACTAATATTAATTATATTAGGTTCCTCACCCTCATTAGACCCTTGGATTCCCACTATTTCCGACATAATTCTTTCTGTCTTCTGTGGAGAGAAGCAAAATATTTGTTCAACTTCACTGCCATTTATTTATTCCCATTATAATGTCAGTCATCTCTGCTTCCAAGGGGCTAACATTTACTTTTGCTCACATCCCCTTTTATGACAAGTCACAGAAGCTTTAAAAACATGTTTCAATATTTCATGCTGGTTTACTTTCACATTCTATCTCCGCCCTTGATCAATTTTCTTGGACATCCTTTGCTGAATAATATGAGTACTGTTTCCACATTGGTCCGACTTCATACAGTATGACAGGTTACATAATCAAAACCAGCATAGATTTAAAAAATATTAACATGAGCATTTCTGAAAATGATGATGAATTTTGAAACTGTCAAAGAACTGGATTAACGTCAAATAATCAGCCCCAGTGGATCCTTGTGGGCAGTAGTTTAGCACACAGTCTCGACCATTATAAAATGGGGTAGGGGAGGAGTGGTGTTGACAATCATGTTGGAACGTTACATGTAAAATGGTGCAAGATATTTACACTTGTGCAATTCAACACATTGATCTATCAGTTCTCAAAAAAGCTTAAAATTTATTCGCACATTTCAGACTGGAAACAGGCTCAAGTAAAGGATTCTATTTATTATCAAGCCTAAATCAATTACTACCTTAGCAGTAATTGGCATTGCCAGTGTTGTGATGTTTCATTATCGATGTCTGACTCTATTTGAAAGCAATTTGAATTCAGAATTGATTTGCAAGAAACAACTTTGTTTGAGGGGTCTAAATTAACATGCACTTTTTCTTTTGAACTAATTATTTCCATTCTTATCTATCTAATCATAGCCACAATTTCACTTGGAATGGTTTTCTTTTCTGATTGTGCCAATATTGTTGGTGGACACCCTCCCCCCACTACAAGGAACAAATCGTAACCCCCTTCTATTCCTCATCTACATGATGCTTTTCAATGTTATCATCCCACAGTACAGCATTAGTTTTCACATATACACTTACAGCATCCAACTGTACCTTACAACCACACTCTGAAGAAGCCAGACATTAACCCTGTTTCTCTTTCCATAGATATTGCCAGACCCGTTAAGTTTCTCCAATCATCTTTCACAACTCCATCACCATCCTCGAGAAATCAAACTGCTTCTCTGAGACCCATTACTGAATGAGCAAATATTCCCTCGAATTAACTATTACTAAGAGTGAAGCTATTATCATCAGTCA